GTGTTTTGTTTTCTCGTCAGATATCAATGAATGCGTCGACGAAGACTTTTACAACTGTACAGATGAGTTTCACATGTGCGTCAACACTCGCGGCTCTTACAAGTGTGAATGTGAACAAGATCTGTATTTCATTGATGGCAAATGCAGAGGTAATCAGCATTAGACTTAGTATAGTGACGGACCGACTGTCTGTACGTTGGTGCATGTTATTGTCACCCTTTTTGTGCTTACGATAGTGTGCTAAAGGTTTTCACTCTGGCCAATCACATTACCGTAAGCAGTGCAATGAATCAATCAAAACGCGAAGAAAATACACTTGGCGGACGCGAGACGCGGGAAAACGCGTGCGAGAAAGTCACGATTGATCTTGGTTTTACTTCTGATTGGATGTCGATTGGATGAAGTGGCACGCGCGTCTTTTAACCCAATCGTGTAACGTAACCTGTAAAATCAATCACTTTTCCATAATCAAGTGAAAATCGCACGATGGGCACAAAAGAAATGATAATAAACTAGAATTCCCGTTTAAGAGACTTGTTTAGGCATTCGCATTTTATTACTCACAGGTTTTACATTTTTTGGCAACATGTAATGTTTTACCAGTTTCTAGAAGAATGCGATCTTAGAACTATGATTAGAAGGCTGTTTTTGTTTTTCTCGTCTAGGCCTGGAGAAGAATGAGACAGCCTCCAAGCCAGTGTTACCTGAACCGCGTGTGCCATCAAAGAAAGAGAGGGAAGAAGCTGTGCAGTTCGTAATTCCACTCACAAGCGATGTAAGTGAGAAATCTTTGGAAACACTCTGAGCACATTATTTTTTTGGACAGCGATGATATAGGTAGGTGGATGGGGGAGGGAGGGGGGTGAAGGGAAAGGTGAAGATCAGAGACTTGTTCATCAACACATTCACCTATTGGAAATGAAAATGAAATNAAATGCAACTACACGTACAATTATATAATGTAATCTGCGTTTGGATAACTGTGTTTTGTTTTCTCGTCAGATATCAATGAATGCGTCGACGAAGACTTTTACAACTGTACAGATGAGTTTCACATGTGCGTCAACACTCGCGGCTCTTACAAGTGTGAATGTGAACAAGATCTGTATTTCATTGATGGCAAATGCAGAGGTAATCAGCATTAGACTTAGTATAGTGACGGACCGACTGTCTGTACGTTGGTGCATGTTATTGTCACCCTTTTTGTGCTTACGATAGTGTGCTAAAGGTTTTCACTCTGGCCAATCACATTACCGTAAGCAGTGCAATGAATCAATCAAAACGCGAAGAAAATACACTTGGCGGACGCGAGACGCGGGAAAACGCGTGCGAGAAAGTCACGATTGATCTTGGTTTTACTTCTGATTGGATGTCGACTGGATGAAGTGGCACGCGCGTCTTTTAAGCCAATCGTGTAACGTAGCCTGTAAAATCAATCACTTTTCCATAATCAAGTGAAAATCGCACGATGGGCACAAAAGAAATGATATTAAACGAGAATTCCCGTTTAAGAGACTTGTTTAGGCATTCGCATTTTATTACTCACGGGTTTTACCTTTTTTGGCAACATGTAATGTTCTACCAGTTTCTAGAAGAATGCGATCTTAGAACTATGATTTGAAGGCTGTTTTTGTTTTTCTCGTCTAGGCCTGGAGAAGAATGAGACAGCCCCCAAGCCAGTGTTACCCGAACCGCGTGTGCCATCAAAGAAAGAGAGGGAAGAAGCTGTGCAGTTCGTAATTCCACTCACAAGCGATGTAAGTGAGAAATCTTTGGAAACACTCTCAGCACATTATTTTTTTGGACAGCGATGATATGTGTAAGTGGATGGGGGAGGAGGGGAGGTGAAGGGAAAGGAGAAGATCAGAGACTTGTTCATCAA